CCATGATATGTGGGTTCTTTGATTTTAGCATCAAAATTGTTTTCTCGTGGTCGGGAATAGTGGGAAAGTGAGGAGCATTTTGGACAAGATGGTAAATCATTGGTTTCTGATATAATCATAAAATGAACAATTAGAGATGAAATGATTTTTATGAAATAAACTATTGTAAATGTACTTGAAGTTTGGTTACTGTACCTTTTGTGTATAGGAGCGACAGATCCAGCTGTTCCACACTGTCAAGAAACTGATGTTAGAACTGATCCAGATGAGGAGGCAGCTCATGTCAGGGACACTCACACAGGTAATCCTCTATATCCTATATTATCTGACGTGTGTACATGTCAAGGCCAGGCTTTCAAGGCACAAAAGAACTCACCAGTGGGACGAACAAGATAATCTACAATAGACTGAACTGCCAAAGAAAGTACATGTCATGTATTTGCATGATAGATGTTTCGAGTTAACCTTGTCTGAAAGTTTATATCTGATGAAATATACCGGTAGTTGAAAATATAGTGGAAGAACCATAAAAATTATCTTGATTACTATCTATGATGGTGTCATTCTTTTAGTCTAAGAAGATAATGAGCATATTTCTTTCCTCTGCAGGACCAAATCAGGGAACTCAAGCTGAGAATTACATCAAAGATTGACTGGGGGAACAGGTAAGGAGAGGAACAGTGACTGTCATACTAATGATCTGTAAAGCCATGCAGAGTCACACAATTACGACCTTACCCAGAATTTCCCTGTCCAGCCTTAAGAAATGCTACGAGTATCAGCCCAAACTAAGAGACTTAGAAACTCATGTCTACTCAGTGCAATTCGGCTTTATAACAACAAACTGAAACACTAATAACTAAACACTCTAATGTCTGTGATGTTGTTGAATTAGATTGTGTTAACTTTGTATTCTTCTTCCTACTTATAAATTAAGGTGACTTTTCATTTATACCAGATAATGCATATTGTATCAGGGGTCAAAATACTGGGTGCATGTGCATCTTCGTTGGTGCACCCAAAATTGGAGCACCCAATTTTTTTCTGTGGGTTGCATCTGGGTGACCATAGGTTTACTTACTTGTATACAGCATATTCTTGACCTCTAAGTGTCAGAAAAATGATAAAATCTTTGAAAGTCTTTGTTGTTAGTAGCACATTTTACTTGTTGAAATTTTGTATTTAGATTTTGGGTTCATCTGAATTTTTTAATGCTCCAAAATGTTGATTGAAAACTCTTTATTTTACATATATGGTGCACCCAGAAACTTTTCTGTGCACCCAATATTTTTTAGGTTGGGTGCACCAGTGCACCTATTCCCAAGAGTGAATTTTGAGCCCTGTGATGCGGACATGATTCGGGCAAACCAGGCCCCCAAGTTCCTTTGATTCTCAATACTGAAATAAAGTTTATAAACTTTTCCTGCCTGTTGACAGAAAGCTAGGCCTGGACCTGGTACCCAGGATAGATGGAGAGGTGGTGGATGTGGACAGGACCAGTGCAGTCCAGCTGTACCAAGTGGTTTGTAACTTTTCATAGCAGGTTACATGCTGATGTGATGATTTTAACCATTTTAAAGACATTAGTGTTTGTTACTGAGAATGAGAATGCATAGATTTCACCATATCAAGCAACCAGATGAATACAATTAGATAGAGTGATAAAGATAACAAAATGCAATATTCCAGTGAAAGCTCATCTGTGTTCTTAGGATCCATAGTTGTAGAGTATATAAAAAAAGACCATAATTTTTCAGTTAAGCTCGTCAACTTGACGAGATTGACCAAAAAATTATTGTCTTTTTTTTCTTTGTGTTGGAACAAAATATAAACTCTACAACTATGGATCCTACCAACGATGTCAGATGTATGATTCACTTGCTGACTCTCCGGAAGTCGGGAGTGTGATGACGCCAGGAGTGAATCGAACGTGCGCATTTTGGATACGGAGCAGGACTACTTTGTGAGGGGCATAAAGGAGGCAATTCACATCAGGGCCCATCAACCCTCTCTGAACCATGAAGGTAGTAGGTTCCGTCTTCCCGCCACTTTTGATGCACTCCTGACATCATCATGCTTCTGGCCTTCCAGAGAGTCAGCGAGTGGATCATTCATCTGACAAAGGTTGACGAAGTCAACCCAAAATTCCTTACCTATGTTAGAACAAAGTTTGAACTGACTCTACAACTACTAAAATATACATGTACAATGTTAAGAGCCTGATGTTACATGTAGATATACATGTATGTCTTGCTACATGTTCCGAAATGTTTTATGTGTGGGTCTTGACACCAGCTAACATGGTGTGATCATTTAGGCCACAGCAAGTAAATTTTATGGATGGCATCCCCGCAGACTCTAAATCTAATGCGAGCGGGCAAAAAAAAAACAAGGTTCCTACAATTCAAAATTTTGACTCAATCATTGTACAAATGGTTTTGATTCAGTGGGAACATTGCATATACACAGCCAGCATCACATATCACTGTATCAAAGTAAAAAACAAAACCTTAAATCAGAGCCTTTTCTTGTCTCTTCTCTTCATACAGTTTGTAGTTATCAGCCATCCACCTTCCAGCATAGCAACAGACATCTTTGCCCATTTTCAGCATATTGACCACTGTCAGAAGGCAACAAAATTTCTTTTTTCTTTTTCCAAAATCAGGCGAAAATCAATGCGCGTGCCGATGTCATCCATAAAAATTACTTGCTGTGGCCTTATTACCATGGTGATATGATTCTCACTGTTGTTCTTGAACACATTGACACCTGTAACACTGCGCACACTCTGAGCTGCTCATTCTCTCTCTCGCCACTTTGCAGCATCTTAGGAGCCAGCAAGATACACAGAATTCTTCAGTGAGTGTTCCTTTATTCCCTTTAAAATCTAAGAATCTTTTACTGGTTAGATAGGGAGGAAGATGAGAGATGGAAATTCTCTTTTTTTTTCCAATATTTGTCCTAGAAATGGAAATGTGACAATCTAAGCTTCAAGTGCATTCCTGCTATTTCATACCTCATGCCATTCAAGTCTTTCCCATTCTTGCCAAGAAAACAAAAATTTTGGGGTAGTGTGCAGCACACACCAAAAAACAGTTACTCAAGCAAGTGGATATGATTTTGGAGATGGTCAGACGTTTCAGGTAGCATGTACTACTGTGCCTTTCACAATGGAGAGGTCTGGAAAAAAAAAGTTGAAAATTGTGTATCATACGTTTTTTTTTCTTGTAGGAACATTTGAGGGTAAGTCAAGCAGCCAAATTCCACCTTACTTTTGCATGCTACAACTTTCTTCAATCAGCTACATGTATTTCAGTGGGACCTTGATTGGCAATATAGATGTTTATGGCTATACTGATTATCTAATATCTGCTGTCTTTCCTTACAGAGTCGTGGAACAGTCAGAAAGTCCAAGAAGAAGGTCCTGTCTCACCACCTGTACTTCATACTGAAGAACTTTGCCTGTAATGTCGGGGAGGACACAGATATCTTCTTCTCCCTGTATGATGCTGGGGACAACAAGTTCATCAGGTAGGGTACTCTAAATCACTTTATTGGCAGCAGCAAAATTTCCCAGTCTGATAAAAATGGACATGTTCATGGAACTGTTTGCAGTGGTTGCAGAAGGAAGGAAGTCAGTGAATTATTTGTTTGCGGCAAAGATAAATTTTTGGTAACGAAGTGATAGCAAATCCTTGAATAAAGTAGCATGGAAAATTATGATTATAGTATTTTTTGTACAACGTCAGGGCAAAGGTAACCAATTGGCGCATGCCCAGAGGGCCCAGTCTGAGACCCCTTTGATTGAGTGCAGCCAAACCAACTGAAAACAGCCTTTTTCTTGGTATGTGTGGATAAATGCTGGCATTTTCCAGCTGGAGAGTTATTTCTATTTCTATTAACTTGAAAAAACTGGCTGTTAGTGTTGTTTTGACTGCTTGGTAGGTTCTAAGACTAATCCCATCTTCTTGTCTTTTGGTGGTCTTCAGAGGTCATGCTGCCAGTGTTTGCATTTGCCGTGATATGTATCGCTGGTCAAAAAGTGAAATTTTTGGACTAAATGGACAATTTGGAAGTTGGACTACCCTGTCAATATGTGTTTGCAATAGTTGAACACTCAAGTAGGTGATTGTTGACAGCTCAGTTCTTAGATGTTTTCTATATATTCCAATAGGGACTGGAATTAGTGGTCTGTCCCCGTCATGTACCAGGATATTCTTTTAAATGCCTGTCACCTTGTACCTGTCTTTACCTTGCAGTGAGAGGTTTCATGTGAAGCTGACCAAAAACGGACTGCCAGTAAATGTGGAAAAGCTACACAGTTTATCAGCCTTCTTCATTGTAAGTATGCCTAGGTGTACAATGTACATTTTGTAAATGTATGTTATGCACTGCAGGAGAACTACAGTTATCAACGTTTCTTGCCCTGATTTTCAAAGGGGGAAACATGTATGGATAATTGTACCAAATCTCTTCAAAGTATACTTAGTCCCTTTTGTGATAAAATTGTTAAATATCTGTGCTTTAAATGTTACTGTGTACAAATGACTTCTGCCCTCCTTTTAGGACTTAGGGAACCAAGACCTTGCAAGAGAACTGTACATGGTAGCACACATCTTCAGAATAGGTGAGAAAAATGCAAACATAATCAGTTCTACTAATAAACAAACATTTTTGATGTGATTGTCTCATCGTAAATGGTAATTGAAGAATATTGCTTTATTGCTTTATGTATTGGTATACATTACACATTGTGCTGAATCTTGGTTCATTTTGCTTCATAGGCAAGATGGTTTACTCTTCAGGAGAATCCAAGAAATCTTCCTTGCAGTACAGAAGACCTTATGGATGTGCAGGTAATTTTCCCCCCAAACTTTCTGTACATGAATTACAAGAAAAAGAAGAAATGTTGATCCTTGTAAACTTTAAGTCAAACATTATTGTAGAAAAAATGTTAAGCAGCAACATGTACAACTACAAGTAAGGCCACAGCAATTCGATTCATTGGTTCTCAGATTTGTTTTGAGAAAAAGTTTGAAGCAACAGGGTGAAAGAATAAAAACAGACCTCCTCTGATCCTGATAGCCTCAAAAGTTATGATAGGAGCCATGATGTCAATATACCGGACTGGTTTATAATTCAAATAATGAATTTTAACCATTTTATAAAACCAATGCATTAATAGATAGATAAACTGTAACAACTACATGTAGGAAGGCAAGGAGCTTTCTTCAACTGTTTGGACTGAAATAGAAGCATTTTTGGAGTTGATTCAGAACCTGAATCTTTTTTTGTTTGTAATTCAGACAAAAAAATGAATTCGAGAACCAATTAATGAGATTGGTTTGGCCTCAAGGTAAATCTAAAATCAACAGCTACATGTACATGGAAGGACTGTTTTATTGAATTTGAGATGTAGTTCTTAAACATGATGTGTAGTTTTCACAAAAGATAAAACTTTTTATTGAATTGTTGTCGTGTTTGTTCAGTGTTGAGTATACAGGAGGTACTGGTTGCTCAGTCTGACCAATCAGAAGGCCAGGAGGATAAGGAGTTTCTCATGAAAGTCTACAGGTGGGACAAACTTATAATGGAACTTTGTTTTAATACAGATGTAACACTGTTCTTGCCAGCACCCGTTTATCACAACGTATAAAATGCAACATACATGTAATATTGAAATTGTACAACTGGATCGTGAAAAATGGTAAAGATATTAGTGAAAAAAGAAAGAGCACAAGCTCGGATTCGAACCCAGGACAGAAAGCCTGGTCCTAAAACCCTAATCCTCTTCAGCATGAAACAATCATGGTGTGGAGGGAACATTCTAACACACTTGAAGTTTTACTATCAGGAAAGTTCATCTGTGTTGTTAATTATGTTTTTGAGTTAAAAGTTTTGGTCCAGCACAAAAAGTTCTCTCACCAAGAGCTTTTGACCAGTCACTCTGGTCTTCCTCAGTAGACTGACCCAGTGAGGCTTGTCACATGGCTTCTTTGACTGGGTCAAAGGTATCTGGTAGACGATGTCGGCCCCTGTCGCGGATAAGTGAAGGGTGATGGACCCTCATGTAAATAACCTCTTTCACCTCTGTCAGGAAATAGTACTATGACACTGTAAGGATTTTGGACACTGAACAAGACTATTTCCTGAGAGGGGTGAAGGAGGGGTCAATGCAGCATTGACCATTTCAAATTATGGCAAATGGAAATAATGTGTAAGTCTCGCTGCCATTGTTTTAACTCCTTTTTACCCACGTCTTGCCATGTTTGCAGGACTAGCAGGTTATCAGGGAGGATAATCTGTAATGTTGAACCCTACAGGTACACAACTTTGATGGTCAACTTGTACCAAGGTCTTTTTCTACCTTCTATTGACCAGGCAATCTTCATTCTAGGGATGTAGGCATAACCTGTGCAGATGCTTTACAGTGTATATGCCATCTACGTGTACATACCAAAAACCATGACCATCCGCCAACTGGTTATTCTCCCTCAAAAATTTTTTCAAGAACCTCCCCTGCAGTTCCAGAACAAGTTGAGAGGGGGCCAAACTTATGTTACGTCTTGCCGATTACAAAAGCCGTCTACCATGTAAAGTTTGTGACCCAAGCATGTCCAAATCACGAGATATCAAACCCGGAAGTTCAGCTGCAGTGCCATAACATGTTGAGGCCTCCTCAAGACCTACCCACCTACAAAGTTTCACGACAATCCATTCAGATCTTCTTGAGTTATTATGCGAAAACACAAAAAAATCCCTGTACAATTCCTAGAATTCTTGCAGATTTCACACAATACTGTACCATTAGGTTCGTCCCTGAGGTGTCGCCAAAATCTACCTACTCACATACATGTAAGTTGATGTAAAATTAAAGTATTGCCCTTCACACCAAGTGCCTGTTGTGTTTTGGAAGGAAGAGCCTTTGATCATGTTGACCCTGACAGAACCATTGTGGCGCGATGCACACCTGTAGTCACCACCAAAGATGGAACACAGCAAGAACATTTTTCAAGCAGCACCATGTAGCATTCACCACCTGTGTTATAGTTTGTTAGATACAATATTGTCAATAATGAATATCTTATGTGTTTGTCCATTGGGTGCATCACCTTACATGTATGTTTGTAACATGTTTTTTAGTCTATAACTTCAAGATTTGCACATGAATGATATGTGAAGTAGTAGAAACATTGCCAAAGTTAACTTGAGCAGTGTAAAGTTGGATAAAATGAGTCAACACTGACTTCATTTTGTAGATAACAAAAGGTGTTATATAAATCATATGTACTGCTGCAAATTTGCAATTATAACAGCTTTGTATTCCTGTGGCTTTATTTTTGAGGGCTGGATTTGTTTATTTGCCCTGTCATGCCCGTAGCCAGGGGGGGTTCGGGGGTTCGGAAGAACCCCCCCACAAGGCTCAAAGGTCCACTTTTTGGTCCACATTTTATGTAAAGGTCCACTTTTTGGTGCACATTTTATGTAAAGGTCCACTTTTTGGTGCACATTTTATGTAAAGGTCCAAGATTTTTCTTGAAAAGATGGACTGGAATCGTAGAAAAACTGCTCCCGTTGTCATTGAATAAAAATTTATTTCTGATTTTTTCTTGGAAATCCTCTCAAAAATGCACGAAATGCCATTTTAGAAGGTTCATTTTTCAAAATTTTCCGGGGGAGCATGCCCCCGGACCCCCTAGGAACCTCGCGCCTTCGGCGCTCGCCTCGCGCCTACAGCGCTCGAGGTCCCCCCAAGCAGTGGGACGAACCCCCCCATTCAAAATTCTGGCTACGGGCATGCCTGTAGCATTAATTTTGTGGTCTTCAGAAGATCATGCATAAAATTATGTCAGTGGGCCTTATATTGACATCTACATGTAATGTCTGTGTCCATAATATCACCATGGTCCATAATATCACCACCTTGAGAAACAGTGTGCTTAAAGATATTTTTACTGGAATATACTTTTGGTATGCACTCCTATACACCGCAAATGTACATACCTAGGGTATGTTGCAGTAAAAAGCACACTTTTTCTCAAGGTGGTGATATTATGGACCCTGGTGATATTATGGACACAGATGTTACATTGGCATGGGTATGACTAGGGTTAATCTTGGTGATAACACATAGCTGATTTCAGTCACATTTTCAGTGTCAATGCTGTTTTTTGCTGACAGTTTCCCTGTATTGTCTGAGCATATTTTTTCTTCCTGTTTCCCTGTCAGCTGTAACAATGAGAACGAGATGTGGCAGCTCCATGAGAACATCATCAGGAAACAGCTGGGCAAGGTCAACCTGCAGGGGTCAAGTTATGGTAGGTCTTATCTTATCTTAACAAGGTCGTCACAGTGTGTCATTGTGTTTACCAGAAACCACAAATTTAAAAATTGTTATTGACAATTGTATTACTCTGTAACTGTTTATGACTTGTACAATGTACATGTAGGTACTACCGGTACATGTGGATAGTAAGCTGTTTTTGACACACATTGCTTTATAACAAATCTTTCCTTTTACTTTTATCTTGACCTTGAAGTTTTCTAGCACGTTGGCAGAATGTACGGCGCCTGTGCTAAACCCGTAATGTATTGTGTATAGCATTTTGGCAGAATGTTGTATTTGCACATATAAGGTTAACACTCTGTCTGTAGTTTCCAAATGTTATGTCGGAAAGATATCCTGTGCAACAGCCAAAATTCTGATGCACCGTTGACCAAACAACCAATGAAAACCGTGAAAAATGGGGGTTCTGCGCAGGCGCAGTATGTTCTGCAGACGTGCTGAGTTTTCCTTAGTTATGGAGCATACTGATCTTGTTACTGATATTATGAATAAGTCAAAGTTAGAATGAGTAGATATACATGTACAAATGTAAGAGGCATTTTGCTGATTGTCAGTGTATTCCATATCTGACGTTTTTTGTTCAATGTTTAGATATAAAACAATAAAAAAGTTGTGATAACATTGTCAGAAAAGGAGGGTTTGATACTTTTCTGAACACAATTTCCATCCTGTTCTTTCTATAGGTTATTCTCTGTCTGACACCACCTTATCATTGTCACATACCAGTCTCCCCATTTTCATCATAGAACAGAGAAATAGAATATTGATACGACCATAACTGGCATCAGAGTAGCACATTGGCAGAACATACTGTGCCTGCGTGAAACCAGTAATGTATAGCACTTTGGCAGAACATCATCTTATGTACGGTTGCATTTGTACATTTCTGATGACATCCTATCTATAGTTTGCAAATTTAAATGTTTGGTTGGAAAATCATCTGCTATGGGCAAAACTGTCATGCAACATTGACCAAACATTCAACAAAAACTGAAAAATCGGGGTTTCGGGCATGCAGGCGCATTAGGTTCTGCCAATGTGTTCATCAGAGCAGGGCTCTAGCCAGCACTCGTTTTTCCGTCAATTACTGGAAATTTGCAGTGTGCAATGGAAACATTTTTAAACCAGTCTGTCAACCTTCATGGATAAAATCAACAAGAATTTCAGATAGAAATATAAAAACATCCGAAGGACCATCGACAATCACTCTCAACCCCATGATTTGCCTCTCAAAATGTGGGAAATTGTGTTTTTGAAGGCTTGAAAGCCAAAATTTCCCAGGGGAGCACGCCCCAAACCTACACGCAGACCCCATCATGATCAGAACAAAATTTCGAGCTGGTTAAAGCCCTGCATCAGAGTAGTTTCCCTGTCTTTCACCATTTCACCAATCTTTCCCACCTTCTCTCACTCTCTCGCCCTCTCTCTGCTGTGACTATGACAGACACGATTGTTTCCTTCCCACTGCTGCTCCCTGCTGGACTACAAGCAAACAACAGGTCCAGTAGGGATCTGACAGGTAAATACATGTAGTATTACCTGCATTTCTCTGGGCTGTTTCATTGTTAATGATCCATTCCATTAGGCCACATTAATTTAATTTGTTGTTTCTCGGATTCGCCCTGTTCATTTTTTTCTGATTTGCAAAAAAAAAAAAAAAGATTTTGGGTTCTTAATTAACTGCAAAATGCTCAATGAAAGACATATTTTGGCCCCAACGGTTCAAGAAAGTCCTTTTCTTCCTAGTTGTTTAAGTTTTCCAATGTAACAATTCAACTTTGTTTCATTAAAAGTTCAAAACCTATTGTTTTAAATATAAACCAGCCTGCTATGTTGACTTCATGGCTCATATTGTAACATTTCCGGTCTTCATGGGGTGGCTTTGCCTGATTTTTTTAATTTTATATTTTTTATTTTAATTTATTTATTTTTATTTTATTATTTATTTTTTTATTTTATTCTATTTTTTTATTTGCTTCATATTTTTTCTGAAAAAATCCGAGAAACAACAAATTAGATTGGTTTGGCCTAAGGGCAGACTGAAATATCTATAGAAATCTATCCAGAAAACAAGTAATGGGTCACATTTCCAAACCAGTGCCCAGCCGGGCTGTTTGCTGATGAACAAAAAAGATATTGGATATTCTAGTTTGCCCCAACTGATGTTGATAAAATGGAATGGCCCTCAGGTATGGCGATTTGGCCGAAATAATTTTGCCTGAACAGAAGCACATTCATGGAAAGGTTTTGACAGACAAGTACTTTTGAAAACTGAATAGCAAAGTTCTTTGATCACAACTATTTATTTTTCACGAGCCGACGTTTCGATGACCTTCTGTCATCTTCATCAGGGCAATTCTGACTGGTTTACTGTGCACTGACGCTAGATGTTACTTGGTGCATAGTGCGCTAAAGGTGTTACATGGTTCACAGTGCAGTGTTACTTGGTTCACAGTACACTTAAGCTAGTTTGTACTGTTAACAATGCATTTCTGAACGAAGATGATGAAGATGACATTCGGTCATTGAAACGTCGACTCGTGAAAAATAAATGGTTGTGATCAACGAACTTTGCTATTCATTATGTACCAACCTGATCAAATTGTCTTCTGAAAACTATTCAAAGACTTCATCAAAAATGATAACTTCTGTTTAAAACAGAAGATTTCAAGCCAAATGTCCAACCCTGGTTTTGAGTTTTGTAATATTTCTTGTGCTGTAGCTCACTCACTAGCTATATCTGTTCAAAGTTTTGTTACTTTTTCTGTTCATTTCAGACACACAACTGTTAATATTCTTAAAGATGACACACAACATAACAGACTTTTACAAATATGTTTGCTACAATTTTATTTCAATCTCCCGCAAAGTTTATTCAGGGTAATTAGCGACGTTGAATTAGGGAAAATCATTTTGGCAAAAAAGTTGTCTTCATTTTGAAATCTATGTGGTTATGAAGGTTTAACAAATAACTAATCAAAACACACAGAGTATGGTATGGCCAGTATTTCTTCATTGCCTTAGGAATTGATTTTGGCATTCTGCAACATTAGTATCCTTTTCTAATGTTTTTTTTTCAAATTTACGGCATATACATGTATTTCCCCATTTTGCAGCTGCTATATATATACATTATGTATGATTATTGACATTATGTGTGTATGGTCAAAACTTTTTTGGAGGGGAAAAATTCATGCACATGTGAAGTTATTATGAAACAAATTTGAATTGTAATGGCCAACACAAAAGATTGGACTCACACAAATTTTCGACTCCTGTCCAGTTCTTTGACAAAGACTGGAGTTGTACAGTCCAAAATTTGGGTGAGTCCAATTTTTTGTGTTGGCCATTACAGTTGAAATTTGTTTCATAACATGTCCTTAAATTGTAGACTGAAACAGTGTTTTTTTTTCCTCCCAGGAATGGTTGTGTCCATGAGTCTACTACATGGAGAGCTGGCACAAGTACGGCAGGAGAACGCCTTCCTCTTCAACAAGGGAGTCACCTTGGTCAGGAAACTGGGCTTCTCTGATGTCATCATGCCAGGTCAGGACACGGATAGATAGCCATCTTCTCTGTCTACAGCTGTATTGTACACTCAGATAAACTTGTTATTTACATAGTGATTAATACAAATTTGCCTTTCGGCCACACCAATTTAATTTGTTGGTTCTTGGATTTTTTCAGAAAAAATATGAAGCGACAGGACGAAAAAAAATATAATGATACCAGAAATGTTACAGTATGAGCCATGAAGTGAACATACCAGGCTGGTTTATAAATAAAACAATAGATTTTGAACTTTCAATGAAACAAAATTGCATTCATTGAAAAACTTGACAACTAGGAAGAACAGGACTAAGTCTTCCTTCAACCGTTGGGACCAAAATATGCCTTTCATTGAGAATTTTGCAGTTGATTTAGAACCCCAAAAAAATTTTTTTTTGCAAATCAGAAAAGAATGGACAGGGCAAATCCAAGAAACAACAAATTAATTTGGTGTGGCCTTCTCCTCTTGAAATTTAAAGGCATCCAATGTTATTTTGGGGTGGCAAAACAAAAAAAATATTCAGGATTAGGAAATCTGTCTGACATCTTTTATTTCCATTAATAATACTTATCACTTCAACTTGGTTTTTCTCTTGATACTAAAAGGCACCCAATGCAATTTCGGGGCAGCAAAACGAAAAATATTGTGGACGAGGAAATGTGTCTGATGTACTGACATTTCTCAGCACATTTTTGTCATCATGTCATAATGCTTTAATAAGCGTTTGAAAGAGCCTAGAAACAAGCTATGTATGCAAGGCATCTCTTTATTTTGCGGTACCACCCATAAATAGCTACATGTAGAACCAGCCTACAGTATAAAACAAGTAGCCGTTCTCCGAATATCTCATTTTGCCTTACAGATATCAGTATTTCAATGAATGATTCGAACCCAGGACCCAAACCACAAGATTATACCTCGCCAGCTACAAAAGCTACGGAATACAGTGTAATTTTATGGAATACAGTCACGGTGCAATTTCACGAAATACAGTGCAATTTTACGAAATACAGTGCAATTTTAAGAAATACAGTGCAATTTTACGAAATATAGTGCAATTTTACAAAATACAGTGCAATTTTACGGAATACAGTGTAATTTTATGGAATACAGTACAATCGTATTTAGTATACAGTTAACATAATTGTCTGAGTGTTGTGCATTGTTTGTTGTTCAGGTGATATAAGGAATGACCTGTACGTGACTCTGGAGAGAGCAGAGTTTGAGAAGGGAGGGAAGACAACAGGAAAGAACGTGGAGGTGACCATGGTGGTGTTAGGAGAAGATGGGGAAGTCTTACAGGTGAGGCAAGGTTTCTGCTAGCCTGATATCCAGTATATCGTGGGCAGGCTGTCTTTGGGGCTCTAATAGTTTCCCCCCGGTAAGAGTGTTACTCCTGTAGGAGCATTGCTACTAGAGTTTTGCAACCAGGAGTTGAATAGACCCACTAAACTCCCGTCACACAAAACCTACCATGGAATCTAGTTGAGTCTGGCGGTGAAGAGCTCCTGCAGCCCTGAGGAGAACCTGCCGCAACCACGAGCAATATACTGGAGACCAGGCTAGGTGTCTGTCAACAAGAACTGTTTCAAACTTTCAGACTGATGAAGGGCATTGCTATTAGTCCTGTTTTTTGTGGCATTTGCCTTGTGTTGTCAGTATAAATGTAATATGAACTTGTAACATGGAAGGCCAAGGCGAGACACTGTGTATTTCAGAAGCCATATCAAAGCTGGATCACTGTAATTTAGTGTAAACATGAAAAAAAAGGTAGTTTTGTATGAAATAAAAATCATGCTAACTTGTGCACCAGCAACCTAGTGTCTCTAGTAACCCTCGCACTGAAAGCATATAACTCGGTGGCGAGAGTGGGTATTTCGAGTGCTAATAAAAGTGTGTTGAGTCAAATGGACAGTTTAGACAAATATGCAGCAGCTACAAAATATATTTTCTTGAAGCCATTTATCCAAGCATGTTTATTTGTAGGAGTGTATAAGTCTAGGAGAAGGAGAGATGTACACTGCAGAGTACCAGTCTTATGTACTGTACCACAACAACAACCCCAGGTGGGGGGAAACCATCAAGGTAATGTACCATAATGTTAAATGTTGTCTGTCACATATTCACAAATTTGACCTCCCGAACACAAGCCAAACACCCCAAACCTTGGTTAGGAGTAGGTCGGCGCAAAGTCGGCTGGTGTTCAGCAAATTCGGCCAGCAGAACGTTAAAAAAAATTATATTAAACACATTTTTGGATTTGTCTGGAGGTTCAACCATGGTTGGCTGGTATTCAGCTGTAAGTCAACAGAACACCAGCCAACCATTCAGGAGTACCGGGTAAGTCAGCAATGTTTGGGCGTGTTTTGGGGTCAAATCTGACTTCAACTTAACTAAACTTTGTTTCGATTTGATTAGCACAGCAAGATAGGTATGGCCTAAATCCGGTCAGAGTGCTCCTGAACGTCAGTCGAACTTTGTTGGTTGGTGTTGGGGAACAAATTTGGGGGAAGGTCGTGAATGTTAGTACAAATGTACATGTAACTGGTATCTACATGTATTTGACAAGGTAATTTAATGTTCAATGTATCTACCAAAGTGTAATGACATGTACATACATTCTAGTTACTGTAAATGAAGAGATTCTTGTAAACTACAATGTATATGTTTGATATTTGGTGGGACATTGTTTTAACTTTTCCTTGTTTGAATGTCTTTCCCAGCTTGCCATTCCCATAGACAAGTTTTATGGGTCCCACCTAAGGTTTGAGTTCAGACATTGCTCTAGTAAGTACCATTTTTTGTTTCAAAGTCATGCAAACTGTAAATCACCAATTTTGGATAAAATTCTACGTCATTAGCAGCTGCTATTTCTCATAAGACTATCGAGAAAATTGACATGGAAAAATCTCTAACTGTTGTTGTCTTCCTGTTTGCAGCAAAAGACAAGGATGTAAAAAAGCTGTTTGGCTTTGCCTTCACCCCCCTGATGATAGGAGATGGTACGACCCTTCAGGACAGGCAACACGAACTCTTTGTCTACAAGGTTAACTTACCTTTTCATCTGACACCCTGCTTAATATATTAACTGTGTCAAATGTTGAAAAATCAAAACGCAATTGTCCTCAGTGTAATATTATGTACCAAAATGGAATGCCTCATTTGCATTAGGCCATGTTGATTTGATTAATGTGGATGACATCCTCTTGGAACCCCCAAACTACTCTGAAAAAAAAAGTTGACTTTTTCATTGTGCGTTTTGCAATTTTTTTTGCAATTTACAGCGTAAGTCACAATTTTTCTTTGGTACTTTTATATTTGTGATTTTCGCAGTGTCTTCTATACCGCAAACTTATCATTTGATTTACCATTTTTTTTGATTCACCATTTTTCCAAGACCATGAACTTTTGCTACAGTGAACACAAAGTGATTTACAGTATTTTTGCTCATTTGACAGCTGCTTTACAAGATTACAGCATGGTCAATTTTTCTTTTTTGAAATGGACAAAAATTCATTCACATGCAGATGTCACCGATTAATCAAATCAATATAGCATTACAGACTGAGGATACTACATGTATCTTTAAGACAAACACTGATCTTTAGGCCACACCAATTTAATTTCTTGGTTAACGGATTCGCCTGCTTCATTTTTTTCTAATTTGCAAAAAAAAAATCAGAATAAACTGCACAATGCTCATATTTTGCCCTGAACAGTCGAAAACAGTCCTTTTCTTCCTAGTTGTTACAGTTATTCTATCTTTCAATGCAGTGGTATCATTAAAAGTTGGAAATTCATTGTTTAAATTTTGAACCAGCCTGGTGCGTTGACTTGGCTCCTATTGTACCATTTTGGGCCATAATAGGATGCCTAGGCTTGTTTTTATTTTATTTTTTTTTCGCTCACCCGCTCCATTATTTTTCTAGAAATATCCGTTAACCAAGAAATTAAATTGGTGTGGCCTTATGATGGATTCTTGAGACAAAATTGTCACCAGTCCAATTACGACTGCACTGTCATTTTTCCCATGCTACATGTACAACTGATTGAACTTTACGATAATTTGTTGTTTACTACGTTCCCAGTGTGAAGAGAATGTGAAGTTCCACTCCCCGGCCATGTACCTGACTAACCTGCCCAGCTCAGGAGAGGACACTATCGGTACCATCGGACTGTCTGAGGGAGGGGCCACCTTCCCCAGGAGTCCCAAGGAGACATTCGTCATCTCTACTGTCGTATGCTCTACAAAACTTACACAGAATGGTGGGTCAATTGTTACATCACATAACATCTGTACATTTGTCATCTCCACTGTCGTATGCTCTACAAAACTCACACAGAATGGTGGGTGGATTGTTGGGTTAACTGTTGGGTGTTAACAGTGTACAAAATACTTTTTTGAACCAGGTTGCCCAGTGTGCAACCTACGGCAAAAATTAGGTTGCCCATCAGAATTTTAGGTTGCCCCACCTATAAGTTACTACAATGTACTTTTGTGTTTTACATACATAAGCCTTTGACAATATTTCTAACAGCCTTTAGTTAACTGATACTAGTAATAGCCATTAATACAATGTGCCTAAAATTAAAAAGCATCTGCAGGCTACAGTGGTGCAAGCCAAGTGGGCATGATTTTTTTTGGGGGGGGGGCATTCCTAAAATTCAGGTAGCACACTGGGCTACCTGGGTTCAAAAGTAAAATTTCCGGGCAACCAAATTTTACTTGGGGCAACCTAGGCCCGGGGCAACCAGGTATTTTGCACGCTGTGTATACCTGTGAAAATGTCTGTATAAAGGCACACAATGCAAGGCAAAAATGGATTTTTAAAGTCATATTTCTGGTGATTCTTTATATCTGTGAGGCAAAAATGATAATGTTGCTACATTTGCATGACTTCTGTTATGTGGAAGATACTGCCATGTATTTTGGAGCATTATGATGAATCAAGAAACTTCAAAATATATGGCCAATTTACACGGTGCAAAAAAAAATCATTTGTCCTATGACGTATGACATGCGGCGCTGAAACAAGCAAGTTAACAGGCATGTACATGTTTGTAAATGCCCGCCACCACCGCAGTGGCGCGCTTGTTTACACGCTCAAAAAATCGACACATGTTGCCACGCATCGTTCTTTGTACGACATTAAATAATTTTTTTGCCCCATGTAAACTGGCCCATACATGTACATTTGGAGACATATGTTGCTATATACATGTAGCATGTAAAATATTGGTGACTTGTACTGTTCCAGTTGACCTGTTGGGTCTGTTGAAGTGGAAGGCCCACCCTGACAGAGTGCAGGACACTCTACAGAGACTTACCAGGGTGGACGGAGAGGACATTGTGAAGGTCAGTCTCTTTTTTAATACGTTTATCAAAAAAAGAAAGGGAAAGTGATCTCGATCCAGTTTTAGTTCACTGAAGAGCTAATCTCCCACTCGTTGTGATAGAAATGACAGATGCTATGCACAGGTTCATTGTACTGGGAAAATTCCCCTACATGTAGCTCTTTTTGACAAGCACAATGAACTGTGGACCACAAAAGTTAACTTAATGTCCCGTCCTACGTTTTGTAGGGGCTGTGACCCTTTACAGTAGTGTGCATTTCGGGTGAGCGACAACAGCCAGGATTTGAACTCCCAACCTCTTGGCCAAGAGAACTGGCAAATTATTAGTTCACAGTAATGATAATTTCACGGTACAGAGGTGACCACCAAAAACTGCAAGTATAAATTAAAGTACAACGAAACTAGAAAACCTTCACATATGCTCTGTTAATTCTTACTCAAATACATTCATATGTATGGTCAGACAGGAGTATAAATCCCTCCTACTATAAAATTGCAACATTATGTAACCCAACACCAGTTACCATGGTGAGAGATGTCAACAAGTCAGGTCATTGGCCAGGTCAGAGGTCAGTGTTTGGAACGGAAGAAGAAGAAGAAACAGAGCAAAAACAATATGTTTTCCTTCAGTAAAGTTACATAAAAATTGTGATTTACAGTATTTATTTAGTTTCGTCTTTTTTCTTGCAGTTTCTACATGACATCCTGGACACCCTGTTTGCCATCATGGATGAAAACACAGAGGCTTTTGGGAAGCAGGTCTTCCAAGTCCTGGTGTTCATCATTGACATGCTCCACAGCGAGAAGTTCCAGCACTTCAGGGAGGTGTTGGACACCTACATCCAGAAACACTTCTCTGGGGCACTGGTCTACAAGTATGTTTTCTCATTTTGAAAGTTCATCTGTGTTGTTAGAAGTCAGTATTTAAACTGTAATTTCCAACACAAGAGACTGGACTTAACCAAATTTTCGACTGTTTAACTCCAGTCTTTGTCAAGGAATGAGCCAATCTCTTGTGTTGTGTCAAAATGTAGGAGCTAGCATTTCAGAGGGTCAAGATTTCAACATTTTCCCTGGATAGCATGCCCGTGGGCCCCCTATGTGACACCTTGTGAAATTTGCGCCTTCAGCACTTGACACTACGACAAGCAAAATTGAGATGATGGAAATAAAGTCAGGCTGGCTAGAAAACTGGTGTCAAGTAGACGTGTTTACTTTGTCTGGAGAAGCATCCTACTGGTGAGAAGTATAAGTTTTGCCTTACATGTATGACTGTGGATAAATGTCCATATTGTGCTCCTTACAGAGAACTGATAGCTTGCTTCAAACGTACTCTGGACACTTGCGTGACGTCTGGTATGGACAAGCAGGAACAGGCTCAGAACATGTTGAAGGTAGGTTGCCATCGTGACTTGACACACTGTACTTGTAATCATTTTTCCTCTTGTACTGATTATTCCAACATTTTAGATTATTTTTGCCATACAAACCAAAACATTTGCATCATACTGGCAATTCTCATTCTTAATTTATGTTACAATGTTTCTTCTTGGTAAGGCCATGTTAATTTGATTAATATTGATGTTATCCGTGTAGAGGTGAACATCATTTTTGTTCATCTCCAAAAAGAACTTCAAAAGTTTTTGACCATACCATAAATCCTACAAAGCTGCTGCCAAATGAGCAAATGTATGCTGTAAATTGTATAAAACAAATATTGGAAAATGATACTAACAGTTGTACAATGCCAAAATCAATTCCAAAAAAAGGAAGAAATGTCTATTATTCACCATACCATAGTCTGTGTGTTAAGTTTTTTTTCAACCATTATGACCACTTTGATTTCATAATTTTTTTGCCAAACTTCTTTTTATTTGCACGCTCGCATCAGTTTTGAGGTTCCCAGAGGATGTCATCCATATGATCAAATCAACATGGCCTAAGACAAGTAAGCTGTGAGTTCAGTGATACAATGTATATGTACTAGTACATGTGTAGAGCCATATCCCCTCTCTACATCTTTCTGACATTTCGAGGCTTGTTTTGTTCCATAGGCAATAGAGTATATTTTCAAATTCATCATCCAGTCCAGAGTGTTGTATGGAAGGTGGGTGCCATGTTCACTTTACCAAATATTTCTTACATTTTTCATGATATTCCTTCTTCTTTTTACCTGCATACCGACACATTATAGTTATCAATCCAACCAGAAACTAGAAGGTAACATTTGCGAAGCAAGTGCATAATGTTAATCTACGCATGGTCCGACCTAACAAACTACTGCTCTGTTTATTCTTACTCAAACGCGTTCACCTGTAACATGATAATTATAATCCAACACCACAGGTGTCTGCTACAGCACCAGTTACCATGGTGACAGACGTCTGGTCCAGGTCATTGACCTTGTACAGCTTATAAAGACTACTGTTTTCTGATGTTGATTTTGTACCTGTTGTTTTTAGAGCCACCTGCGGGCAGGAGGCGGAGTCTTTCAAGGACGACTTCATGACCATGTTCACATCCATCAACAGGGTGTTAGCACAGCCTGTAGAGGCACTGCTACAAGTTCAGGTACATTACAACAGGGTGTTGGCACAGCCTGTAGAGGCACTGTTACAAGTTCAGGTACATTACAACAGGGTGTTGGCACAGCCTGTAGAGGCACTGCTACAAGTTCAGGTACATTACAACAGGGTGTTGGCACAGCCTGTAGAGGCACTGTTACAAGTTCAGGTACATTACAACAGGGTGTTGGCACAGCCTCTAGAGGCACTGCTACAAGTTCAGGTACATTACAACAGGCACAGCCTGTAGAGGCACTGCTACAAGTTCAGGTACATTACAACAGGGTGTTGGCACAGCCTGTAGAGGCACTGCTACAAGTTCAGGTTATTTTCAAAATGTGTTCTAGCCAGGGCCTGTCTTTCCGCCATTTGACATACATGTAACCTACTAACAGCCTCCAGTGTAGTTTAATTTCTGGGCTGACCTCCCATATCTAAGCAACCTTACACCCAGATGGGCAAATATCACAAACTACATGTATACTCATAGGTAAAAATGAAGAAATATGTACATGTAGCAGCCATTGATGAGCCCCTGGGAATTGATGCAATTTTGTATAATTATGCATAAGGCTTGGAAGAGTTATGTATAATTATGCATACATGTAATTCTTAAGGATTATTCATAATTATTTTAAAAGTTATGCATAATTATGCAAAATAGTTCTTAGTGCATGATAATGAATAATTATGAAATTTACAATCATTATGGTCATTATGCTACACCATGTTACCAGTGGTTTTGCTGCTGTCATGTTTGTTTCCTAATTAAATCTTTTGTTAGTAAGAGCAGGACTGGTTACAGTATATTCTTTTTTTGTTGAAAACAAAATGTTTCAAACTGTTAACACAACATAAATAGAAAACAGAGTCTTGAAGAGTTACTAACACTGACAAACATTTCTTGTTTTTCCAGGTGACCTTGTTGAAGTACTTTCATTCCATATACGATGAGCTGCTGAGATTATTTAACCTCCGTGAGGTCGCCAAGTTCGTTGCTAACGCCGTGGACAGCATTCCCCTGGAACACAACCTGACTCTGCTGAACCAGACCAAGCTGAAGTGTGTGGAACACACCATCAAGGCCAACATCTTCAGACAAACAGGTGGGAGTCCTGATATTAGTGCTGTTATGTTCAGGTCCGGATTCAAGTCCAGAGGTATACAAATGTAAGCACGTCGGCAGAACGCACTGCGCCTGCGCAGAACCCTGTATTTTCACGTTTTTTTTGGTGGATTTTTGGTCAACGTTGCATTAGAATTTTGTCTGTTGTAGAGGATATCTTTTCGAACATAACATTTGGAAACTACAGACGAAATGTTTTCCTTATATGCGCGAATACGACCTTATATGAGACGTTCTTCCAAAGTGCTATGTACAATACATTACGGGTTTTGCGCAGGTGCAGTATGTTCTGCCGACATGCTACAAAATTAATGTAGGTTCAGTCCAGACCTAAACCCATGGCATATTCAGATTGAATTGGACACTTCATTTTGCAGCAAATTTTGCAATCTACTGGAGGTTTTTAGGAGGTTTAAAATGCAAAAGGGGAATGTGACATTTTTTTAAAACTTGAAACTGGTTCACACACAGCACTTCGTTCTACTAGTTTCGGATAAGTATAACTGTGTGATAGTGAGAATTTGAGTGTGGATTTTAGATGACAGTAGAAAATTTTATGATCCTTTAAGTAACAGATATGCAGCAGCGTAAATTGTTAATATCTAAAAAATTGAATGGAATATTCAAATGTACAAGTCTATCAAAGAGGATAATGTTCTTTAGTGTAAGGCATAACTGTGTAGATGCATAAACTCCTTAAAAAAGAAAATTAAGATGTTAGCTTCATCTTCAAGTCCGAAGATCATGAGGAAGTCAGTCCCCTGCAGGCCTTCATGTGGCTGTGTAGACCAATTTTTGACCTGCAGGTCCTACGGCAGGACGGACATGTGAAGGTCTCTGCTGCTGCCGGCTGAGTGACTGCAGCCTTTCGTCGCCTTCTCTTTTCCTCTGCTGCTTCTTTCCGGGCTTTCTCCCATTTTTCAGCTCCTTCTCTGGTCGCTGCTCTCCAGGCACTTCTGTCGGAGGCCACACTTTCCCATTCTTTTACTGGGATGCCAGCTGCATTGTGTTGGCGCTTAAGTTGGTCCTTAAAGCGCTTCCTGGGAGCTCATAAAACTCATAAACTCATTAAAGAGTAAGATAATACTTCATGTAATGTACATGTATATTAAATGTACGGTACCACCCTAGCTTCCCGTGCCATCCTCCTGCCAACATGTCTACGACACCTGTCCCATCACATGAGGCAGAAACAGGAGCTGAAACTGGGCGTGGCTGCTGTCGGGGACATCATCATACTCATCCAGGAGCTGTCTCATGACCAGGTACACATAACTCTTCACATCATGAAATTCAAAGTTCATCTGTGTTGGTAGCAATTATACATGTAGTACAATGATGAACTTTATTCCAACACAAGGGTGCACAACAAGGATTAAGTTTTCAACAACCACAGTCACCATCAGGATAAGTAATGACCAGTCACTTCCGAACGTACATGTAAACCCTCAGGAGTCATGGACACCTTAGTCACACAAGACTTCGCGGATATGTAGCGTCAGCAATTCGTCAAACAGTGGACAATGTAACCTGCCGGACACGTTTGACCAGTTGCTCACATCACATGCACGTAGGAAAAAGTCGCATATACAGTACTACAGGGGTCAGAAAGCTGATGAAGACAGAGTGATTTGATTGAAAATTCTGTTGATTCAATTTTTTCAGTCTGAAAACAGTCAAATTCTCATTAAGAAGGAAACAGTCAAATTCTGAAAACAGTCAAATTCTCATTAAGAAGGAAACAGTCAAATTCTGAAAACAGTCAAATTCTCATTAAGAAGGAAACAGTCAAATTCTAAAAACAGTCAAATTCTCATTAAGAAGGATTTAGAAGGATTTAGCAGGCTACCAACATTTGACTTATTTTGCTCCATCAATTTCAAGAAAGTTCTGTAATGTGCAACAAAGTTAGTAGACTGTTGCATACACTCTAATTCTATTATCTCACATTTAGACATTGTGGGATTGTGAACTCATTGTTGAAAGATTGACAATGTGCATGTGTGTTTCCTCCCTATCCAGTCAATGTCCGGTGTGGTACAGGAGAATGTCCAGTTACTGGTGGACAGTCTATTGGAGCTGATGTTCCAGGGTGTGATGACCATTGACAGGACAGGAGAAGTGGCCGTGAGTGGACAACACTTTAATCTATCTTTTCAGTTCTTTTGACTTTAAGGCACTACATCCTATATTCAGATTTTAATCAATACAGATAAATGTGTCAGGGCTCTAGCCAGCAACCGTTTCTGTCATCACATGAACTTTGTGGTGTTTGATGGAAAATTTTTAACCATTCCGTCAATTTTGACGGACACAATATTGACAAAAATCGTGGGTAAAAATCTAAAAAGATCCAAAATGCCACCCAAAACAACCACTTTGAACCCCATCATTTGCCCCTCAAAATGTGGGAAATTTTTTAAAGGCTACAAAATCCAAAATTTGTACCTTGACTGCAAGCGCTCTCCAACCAGGTCCGATCATGAACCTGGGCTGACGGAAAAAAATTTCTAGCCTGGCTAGAACCACAATATTACATGTATGTGTCACTTACAATATTAATGGAACAATCACTGTTAGCATAACTACAGCTGTATTTAATACATTCAAATCATTGAAGTTGCAGTGATAACCAACAAGAAAACAACATGCAACTAAGAACAAGCCCGTCTTTCCTTCCAGGGCCACTATGTGTCATGCCTGATCGGCTTGTTGGGACTGATGAATGAGGAGCACTACAGATGTCTGCTGGAAGGGCTCACAGACAGGAAGAAGCTCAGGGTATGGATATAAGATACATGTATCATTTTTTAAATATACCAAGACTTGGCCTTAAAAGTATAATCTGTTTGTATAAGGACTCTCGTAAATGTAGGTTCTTATCATGTGCACCTTTGAAGAAGGAAAATGTATTGTTTTTGCTTTGTTTTTTTCTTCTAAATCTTTGTCTCTCTCCTCTTCTTCTCTAAGGAAATAAAGTCAATGACTATAACCAGATGTCTGTCACCATGGTAACTGTTGCTGTAGCAGACACCTTGTGGTGTTGGGCTATGTTATGTAGCAAGTTGCAGGGCAGAGATGTAGAGGCTTGTCACCATGCGTATTTGAATGTGTTTATTGAGTAATAATGAAGTAGTTTGTTAGGCTAGACCATGTGAAGGTTAACATGATGATGCATTTGCTTTGCTAAATGTTTTTTTCTACCAGACAAAAACGTGTGATGTTTTTCCTCCCATCTTTGTGCCAGGACTTCCTGCTGAGAATATTCATCGTGTTCCGTGAGCTGGTCAAGCAGGACCACTTTCCTCGGGACTGGGTCACCATGAGGATGTTAACCAACAAGTACGTACCACAGCTGCTCTCTTTCTCTCTTACACTCTCTCTCTTTCTCTCCCCCTCTCTCCCACTGCCTCTTTCTCTCCATCTCTTTCCCCATATCTCCCTCCCCCTCTCTCACTCTCCCTCTCTCTTCCTCCCTCT